CTCTCTCTCTCTCTCTCTCTCTCTCTCTCTCTCTCTCTCTCTCTCTCTCACACATACACATGTACAAAACACATATGTCTTCACGCACACAGACATACATACAATCATAATATCGCCACCCGCGAGCGACCGCCGCTGTCGTCACCACCATCTTCTCGGCCACCGCCACCATCTTATCGATCGTATCATAGATACACAGCCGGTCATGGCCGCGACGGTGTACACCTACGCCCTCAACTTCGTCGTTAGCTCCGACGCAGCGGCGAGCACATCAGCTATGACGTTCGTCGCCGGCTCCGACACAGCAAAGTCCAAGCCGTCGGTGGTCATCAGCACGTGGCTAAATGTTGCACACGCGAGTATCGGTGTCAGGGATTGGGTGAAATGACGGAGGTATAGGTATTGGGGGTGCTAACCATGGTGATGGAATGAGGGGATACATATTGAAAATTAGATAAGTCTCAAGGATTTACATGCAAATCAAGAAAAATTAACTATATTGTAATTTAGTGATGTGTCAAATATGTAATTATTAAAAATTTAATAAATATACAATATTGATAATTAAATTACACATTATTGTGTGTAGTTATGCACATTAAAATTTTTATCATATTTACAATATTGATAATTAAATTAATAAATGTACAGTATTGATAATTAAATTGCACAATATTGTATGTAGATATGCACTTTAAAAATACAGTCATATTCATACGAAATTGTATAATTGTCATTGCCCGAACAGCTTGAATTTGAAAAATTTACCAAATATACACAATTTTTTACGTGAGGACATGCACATTAAAAACCATTCATAGTTTTACGAAATTATAGAAGTGTCACAGCCTATACATTTATAAATTCGCAAATTTTCCAAAATGTCACAGTGCTTAGGGTTGTTCATCGGTAGATTCGGTCGAATTTTCCGACCGACCAAAAACGTCCAAACCAAAATAACCGAGTTGAACATTAAAAAAAAAAAACAGATCAAACTAAGGCCAAACTGAAATAACCGTTATTCGGTTGGTTACCGAATTAATAAAAATAATTGAAAAAACTATTATTTATTTTATACAAATATATTTAGTATTTTAATATGTGTATTCAATAGTTTATAATATTTTTAGCTAAAAATAAATAATATATATAAATATATAAAAAAAATATTTTTATATAGTTTGGTAGGGTTGGTTATTTTGTTTCTTTTACAAAACAAAGTCGAAATCGAACTGTAATAACTGAAATTTTAAAAGTAAAAACCGATAACTGGATCGATATATAAAAAACCAAATCGAAAATTTTATTTGGGTTGGTTTTGGTCGGTTTTCCCGGGTGAACATTTGCACACCCCTATTCGCGCGTAGTGACAAATTAAATACACATTAATAACTGTAAAAATGCACAATAGCGTAACAATGTAATTTTTATTTTTCACGCGTGATCAGTGGGCCAGACATGCCAATATACATTCTCCTAGATATAATTAATATGCATTCTCACACGATACATTAGTAATCGTTATTTCCCTTTTGCATAATATATTAAACCAGTTTTGCTATTGAATCATCAGATGACATGTCTTATGGAGTCATCCAGTCTTATTAACAAATAGTGTATTGACACATGTCCTACAATAAATACACTTTAGACAGATGTCAATACATTAAGTGATGAATGACTGCATAAGAAAACCATCTGATGGTTCCATAGAATTTTTGTATATTAAACACTGTCTCTTTATATTGTTGCAAAGCTTGTCATTTTATGGCCAATTATCATGTTTATTTGAGCTAAAGTTGTCCTAGAACACTACAAAAAAAAATGATCTTCCAACGGAAAATCCTATAGTAATATATTCCAATAGAAATTCCAACGGATATTCCAATGGTATAGCTAACGTTAAAATCATTCCAACGAAAATATTCTGTTGGAATGTATTTTTCATTTGAATTTTATATGGAATTTGATGATTCCAACGGCTATATTTCCAACGGCTTTTCACCGTAGGAATTTTCTGTTGGAATCTGCAATTTTCGTTGAAATTTTTATTTCCACAACCGGTGAAAAATCTACCGTTGAAATCGTCAAAATCCAACGGAAAACTCATTACAATGGAATATTTTTGTTGGAATTTCCGTTGAAATAATAGCATTGAAATATCCATTGGAATTGCTGTTGAAATTCTATTGAAATATATTTACGTTGGAATTTCATCATTTTATTGTAGTGGAATCGGTAAATCAATAACTTATAGAACCACCAATAATTAATTGGAGTCCATTATATGGAACTATATTTGAAAAACATCTACAAATGTTTACGGGATCACTTTCAAATATTCAGCTAATGTGACATATGAAACTTGACGTGTCATTTTCGACGACACACATGAAATTCGGACAAAAATTATCCTTATTTAGATCAAATTCTATTAGCTATGGAACTAAAATTGATCAACTTCATTCCAACACAGAACAACTTTTAAAACAACTCCATAGTTGTAGGACTACTTTTTGATTTATTTTATTTTTTATTTTCCAACAAAATGAGGTTTCATTATGTATATAAACAATAATATAATAAGCAATGAGTGGAAAATCTTAACTAAATATAGTAAGACGAACTTCATTTAATTAAGCAAGACACGTATAGGTAGCTAGAACAACATTCTTCCAATACTCCTAAATGGGTAATTGCATTGCTAAGCTTACATATTCTGATCCNATTTATATATATTCAATTCAAGATTAATTTTCACCACATTAATTAATTCTCTATATGTTTGGCTGCTGAAAGGGCCTTAGCATGGATAAGAGTGAGCCACTGAGGTGTAAGGACATGACCTCATTGGTGGACCCCACGAGCTTCCCGGCTATGAAGACAGCTGGCACCGGGCCTTTGCAGCCCATTCTCGCGAGGGCCTTCTCGATTTCTGTGCCGTCCAATTCGTGGTCGAGTTCGTAAATACGAGCATGCGCACCGAGTTCTTGAAACAATATCTGGACCGTGTAGCAAAGGCAGCACGAGCTCTTGCTGAAGATTAAAATCCCATTTTCTGATGCAAGTTTTACTATTTTATCCATTTTTTTTATTTTTTTTTTTGGGAAACAATTAGTAATATAATATCCCAAACAAAAATCCTCTGTTTTTGATGGATTATATATTTTGTGATATATGTGCCCACAAAGAAAGAAGTTTCAATTGAGTGGTGGAAGGAAAAAACTTGCATGAGGAATTTGTGAGGTTTTAGATCTCTATTTATAGATCAGTAAATTAATAATAAAGAACATTCAAGAAGATGGTGTGCTTTTTTCTTCTTAGATGCCAAACAAACTTTGAATAGTCACTTTCTCAAGAANAAAAAAAAAAAAAAAAAAAAGATACTTGAGAAGAAATTGTGATCCGCACAAACACAAGTTGAACACAGCCATAGAATCACTGATATATCACAAGTTGAATAAATTCTTGTCGATTGGAGCATTTGTAGCCGACCGATATGAAGAATCACCGAATAGTCCTCCAAAAGGAACCCTGATATTTACATATATACGTTGAATATATAATATACATAGTAAGGTTATTGTAACTAACAGTTAGACAATCATACTTTTTCAACACATGTACATACGTTCGAACTGAAAGGTAAAGTAACATAATACATATTTTCGAACCGATATGTCATACTTTAAAAGGCAATATAAACGAATCAAAAGTATGACATTTCATAAAAATAAGTATGTATTCTTGTTAAAAAAAAGAAGTATGACGTGTCAACCTGCGTTAAACCGTCACATAAGAATTTGAGATTACATATATTTTGGTCAAAAGATTACTGCAACATTTGGAGAATATTAGGAATCTGTAGAACGCGTTGTATGGCTGAGGACCATGCAGCTGGTTGAAGAAATTCCCTGTTTTTAAAGGAGAAAATGGTTGAAATATCGTATAAAAGATATTGCAAATTGCAACCAAAAAAAAAAAAAAGTATCTAATAAGAGTGGTCAATTCCATCTTCTTGCAGATTCTTGAGCAAAAATCAGCCTTTGGGAGAAAAAACAAGGAAAGATTCTTGGCAAACGATCAGTAAAGAATCTTTAGAGTTGCGCCCACCAATTTGTGGTTTTATCACCATAAACACGTACGAGTTGGAATCTCCTTGCATGAATCTTTCATGCTATTCATTTTAGTACGCACGCCCCCGCACGTGTAAAATAGATGTTTTAATGCACCACT